CACCTGAGCTCTTTCCTTTTTATCCGGAGCTCTTTGATTAGGAAAGTTGAACCCATAGAACACTTCATAAAATAAAATCAACAAAAAGATTTTCGGAAGATCCCTGGCAAATCAAAAATTTAAAGAAGACACGAACTGCTGGAGTGGCCGATCCAAGAACAAGAGACCGAGGAAATTATGATTTGAACTTAATCGATCATCAATCGAATAGTTCTAGGAAAAATAATATTTGAATTTTTAATACAACGATAATATCCCTATTCACAATAGAAGAATGAACAAAAGTCGGGGAGAAGAGCTTCTTTATTTAAGAAAACGATCGTTCAAGTTTTCGGGTAAGACGTCCTTCTTTGGATATACTTTTATAATTTGGATAGCAAAGCTCACTTGTTTTATTGTTCTGGTTGTTCAACATTAGCTTTACATAACCGTCAGACCTGTTACCTTGTGAAATCTTGTGAAAAAACTTTATCTTAGGAAATAACATATTATTTTTCTATATAAAAGGGTTTACCCGGATCTTTAAAGAATGTACAGATCCATGTACGCCCTTTTATATAATTTTAATTGATGGATCGCCTTTTGACTTAAAATATTTTTTTCATCCGCCAAATTTACCCAAAATCAGTACAGAATTCGAATTCCTCTTAAAGATCAAGATATCAAAAGAAAAGAACGAGACGTAAAATGAATGCAGAATTCTCGGAAGAGATGATGCGGTGTGGTTACATAGAAACTAACCGAGCATGTACAAGGTACTTGTATTTAGGTTAGGATCAATGATCATGTCTTCCATGAGTGTAGCACACAAAATGTTCTGTAGTGAGGTTTATACTTCCATCAGAAAACTCCACTTCCCTTCTGCAACTTCCTATTGCGACACACCACTGGTTCCTGCAACTTGCTGATAAGTCTGTTTCAACTCCTTTCATTCATTAGAATAGAAAATTGTTATAAAGTATAAAATAAGAATATAAACCGTAGCAATAGAGTTTCTTTATTTGTGCAAAATACAAGCTTTCGGATCTTTATAATCCTTCCACGGGCATTGTAGAATTATTATAAAAGATCCGAAAGCTTACACTTTGAACGAATAAAGAAACGCATTACTACCGTTTTATATTATTATTTTATCCTTTCACTCAGTTCATCTCACTTCTACAGAACTCTATAGCAGATAGCGACATAGCGAACAAACTTCTGTAACACCATTCTTTGTTTCATGAACTGGTCAACTTTGAGCCTTCCGAGTCTTTTTCAGAGGAGGAGCTAATTAAGAAATAAAACTATATATTTATACTATTACAAATCAATAACGCTTATTCTATATATAACAAATGAAAACATTTAGACGCAAGTGATCCAATACAGTATTAGAGCTCTAAAGAAGAGGTATGGTAGATTAAAAAAAAAATTGGCGAAACCGCTGGGAGGGTTAACCGTTGATGAGCCAAGCCTTCCAAATATTTTTTTTTCATCGCAGTAAGGACAGTAGAAGCTTGATTTATTTGTGAAAGAAACACTCGCGTCTTAATGTCTTAATTTGTTATATAAATATATACACTCATGGACAAAACTTAAGGAAGTTGTACCATTTAGCATGTATATCGGGATTTAGACAGTAACTCTGAAAGATATTTGATACTGTTGCAGCTTGGATCCTCACAGTAATAGTTTGGAAATCCGTGTAGCTCCTTAACCTTTGTTTTAGATGTTGACTATCTTTCGGCAGAGCTTAATTTGGACTGTATGTTTTCACCTCGACCTGCGGATTGACTACTGAGAGATTCTCCTTATCCAATTGCGATGTAACAACAAGAGAATCACCACATAGCCTCACGGCGTTTAGCTGACACACTAACTTTATTGCATCTTTCACTCATTTTATATACATATATATTTACATAATTAAAAGAAAGAAAGAAAAATCTGCATGATTATAAATCAATGCAGCCTAGCAAGTTATTTACATAACTAGGCGCAAACAGATACACTGTGACCTTTATTGAAGACATACGAGATAACCAAGTGTGAACAAAATCGCCTGTTTCCGTAAAAAAAAAAAAAAAAAATAGATACCGGCGATATCAAAGACTTTCTATTTCCTTAAGTTTTGACCATGAGTGTACTTTTAAAGAGGTGGGCTCGGTGGAGAAGTAGCGTAAACCGTCGGTCCTCGACAGTCAAGACCCGGGATCGAATCCTGCATTGAGCTATTTTTTTTTTCTAATAAAAAAAAATTGCTTCAATGGCTCCCGATTCTTGCAAAAGTCCAACCCCACCAGTCAGTGCAATTAACCAAACTAGACTCTGGCATATTTGTAAAGTGTGCAAGTCGAACTGCTTTCTCTACATGTGTAGACATGTTGTTCACTTACAATAAAAGCAGACACCCACTATGACTATAATGACCTGTACCACGTGTATAATAGGGATAATAATAAAGAACGTAAAGAGAGAGAGAGAGGACTCAATAGTATTCGATGCTTTTAAAATATCGACTAAAAATTAAATATTTCTTCAATTTTTTTTTGTATATTTATAGATTTAGTCAGTTTTAATAATTCCGAAAAATAATGATAAATGAATAATGAAAATAATAGCTTTAACCAGTTTAGCAAATAATGTCTTGCTGAAGTTGAATGCCTATTAAAATAAGAACATTAAGCCTTCAGGGAAAAGTTTCTTTTTAAAATATTTTTTATTTAAAAATCCCTCAAGCTTTCAGGCAAGAAAGCCTTTCTACGGGAGGAAATATCTTACATCATTAAAACACCAATAAAATAATATTTAAAATTAAATAAAGTGCTTTTGTTGTTTACATTTGTTTCAATGCAGAATCAACCCGGGCTTCTGTTGCGCGTGGTTTCGAGTTTTGCTATTCCAAGGCGATATCTTCACTTGGGGGTTATGGAGTGGGTTCAGGGAATATTATGTTATACATTTCCGGAATGTCTATTCTTCTGTTAATGCTATTGTGATTTCTTGCCCGAAATCTTGAGAGATTTTTAAATAAAAAATATTTAAAAAAGAAACTTTTCCCTGGAGGCTTAATGTTCTTATTTTAATATTGATTCAAAGGATTATTTTATCGAATTTAATGCCTATATTTCCAGAACTGGCCGAGATGTGTGTTTATTGGCTAATTATACATGATGAAGAATATGACAGAATTGCTCTGAAATATCTATTCTCCTGTCTTCACCCCGTGTTCACTCTTTGATTCAAAATTTGCCTGTTGAAGAGCGAGGGTTCTGAAGCCCATGGTGTTTTGATAATGTAAAAACTCTTATTGCGCAAAAAAGTTTGATCTCCTTATAACATTATATAATAGAATGCATATCCTGACCACAAGCACATGTGCTTTTTAGATGGCATTCTGTACACTAGATGGCACTCTGCCATCTAAAAAGCACATGTGCTCGTGGTCAGGATATGCCTTCTTTGTTTTTAATAATTCGGGATATACAAAATAGATTTCTCTTAAAATGAAAAGTTCTTCAAATAAATGCATTTTATTAAGCTACCTAAAATTTTGGTGAAAAATGATGCATTTTGAAATTTTCGCAAACATTTTAAATTTTCACACGGCCTTTCAAGCCGAACGCCAGTAATTATACGGGTTAATATTCAACACCTGAGGTTTCGGTTTCTTTTTACAATTCTTTTATTTCTCGGGCTTTCGGGCTAACATGCCCTTCAACACAGAGACCCATATAACATTATATGACAATTATCTTATATTTAATTTTATGAATACATCTGTTTGAATTCTCTCCCATCTTGGAGATCTTGGGGATATTGGAGTTGCCGTGCCGTGCGACCCCTGCTCCGGGAGGTGTTCGCCTCCTGCGAAATGTCCCTGGATCTGCAGGCCTGGCTCTTCGGCGTCGGCCTCCATCCCGAGGGAATGACGTTCACAAGTATGGCGAAGGCTACCATCTACAAATACCATCTTGGTCTTGAGGTGGGTAATGCCAGCCTTCGCATTGACCTGTCCACTCTGTGGGAGAGAACTCTCGCTGTCCACCGGTGGCGGAGTCGTTCCCGCGGTTGGCGACACCAATGAAGCCTGTAAAGATTTCATTATGTACATTCATCCTTATCTTTTTCATATTTACCTATTATTTTTATTTCTTTTTAGTTTTCATTTATAATTTTTATGAACGATGTAATAAAAGTGGATTCAATCTCAATCTCTCCCATCTTCAGAGTAAAGTCGAGAGGGAAATCTAAGAGGAAGAGAAAGAGAGAGAGGCTATGACAAGAAAGAAAGAATTCATTTTTGGAGAAATTCCCAGAAAGCCAGCAACTTCCGTTCAAGCTAAGGGAAGTGACGGCGCCGTGGGAGGAAGCTCAGATGATAAGTCCTGGAGGTCATGCTTGGGTCACGTGACCGGCTTCCGCCCCTCCCTGCCATGTGGTCTGAACTCCAGTTTGCCATCCCCCTATATATTCCCTTTTGGTCCAGAGTCAAGGAGATCATTGCTACGGGAATTACACAAATATATGGAAACTTTATACTCCAACTTTTCATCTTTGTGAAAAAATAGTACAAATGTGATATTGTACTGGAATATAAGGTTCATAAATTAAGAAAAGATAAAAAGGGCATCTCCTTATCGTGCAACTGAAAGTTGCTGATGGCTTTAACCATCTATCGGAATAAATATAAACTATTCATTGATTTTTTTTTTATTCCTATAGACGGCGCAAGCCATCAGTAACTTTCAGTTGCAAGATAAGGAGATGCCCTTTTTTTATTTTTCTAATTTTCATCTTTAGTTAGAAATTTTCTAGCAGTGATTGAAATCATCGATGGTTCAGCGGTAGAATGCTTGCCTGCCACGCCGATTCCCGGCCGATGTATTTTTAAAATGTTTTTGTTTTAATTTGGTACACATGTCAGGATGGCCGAGCGGTCTAAGGCGCTGCGTTCAGGTCGCAGTCTACTCTTGTAGGCGTGGGTTCGAATCCCACTTCTGACATTTTTTTTTTAATCTCTCACGTGGTCTAGTGGCTAGGATACCAGGCTCTCACTTAGGAGGCCCGGATTCGATTCCAGGTGAGGGAACTTTTACGGTGCCGAGAGCATCGCACTCCTCCTGTATCGTGGAGGGGGGCGTGCGTGTGACCTCCTTGGAGCGTTGGGAGGTCGCTAGGTGGGGGACTCTTTTTTACTTACCCTTTTATTTGTCTAAATTAGACAATATCTTGGAGGTCGTGTTCATAAAGAAGTTCAAAAACTTTTCTTGGTTCTCTGTACAGGGATCCTTTGTCCTTTCCAATACAATTTAGTATATGTTGGGGAGTGGCCTCTTCGGTTTTGCACCTAGTGCACATGGGGAAGCTTTTGACTCCCTCTTTATTGACTAGAGGGCGCAGGTGACCAGATGGGGGACTCTTAACTTTATCTAGTCCGTGTATTATATATTTGATAAATAGTACAGAATTGTTGGAAGGATGGTCTAAACCGTTGGTTTTCGACCGCTACGACCCGGGATCGAATCCCGCATTGGGCACTTTTCTCTGAATAAAAAAATGCTCTAATGGCTCCCGATTCTTGCAAAAGTCCAACCCCACCAGCGAGTGCAAGTAACCAAACGGGGCTCTGGTACATTTGTAAGTGCAAAAGTCGAACTGCTTTTCACCTGTGTAGACATGTGGTGCACTTATAATAAAAGCAGTTGCTAACTATCCACCATAATTATCATGGCCTGTACCACGTGTACTAGGGATAATAATAATATAAAAAAGTACAAAATTGTACTGAGATCAGGTTGATAAATTAAGAGAAAAGATGATGGTTGATGCCATCAGCAACTTTAGTTACCTGTTTCTGGGGAAATACCTTTTCCTCTTATTTATATATGCATACAACATATTATTAAACTCGCGAAACTGGGTTCACCACTGATGAGCCAGGCCCTTCCATCAATATTTCCTTTACAGTAAGGGCAGTAGAAATTGTTTAATTTTTAAAAGAATCATGCACATCTATAATAGTTTCGAATTTTCATAACAGATGGCGCGCTAATGCATCATACATACATATCAAAATTCGAAACTATTATAGACGCGTAAGATTCTTTTTGAAATTAAACAATTTCTACTGCCCTTACTGCAATGGAAAAATTAAAGCCTGGTATCCTAGCCACTAGACCACGTGGGAGATAAAAAAAAAATTGTCAGAAGTGGGATTCGAACCCACGCCTACAAGAGTAGACTGCGACCTGAACGCAGCGCCTTAGACCGCTCGGCCATCCTGACATGTGTACCTTTGCAGTAAGGGCAGTAGAAATTGTTTAATTTCAAAAAGATTCTTACGCTTTTAAAATAGTTTCGAATTTTGATAACAGATGGCGCGCAAGTGCATCATACATGCATACATATAATGCTTATATACACACATATTAAAAATTTTAAAAAGGCATATCCTGACCAGGAGCACATGTTCTTTACAGATGGCAGAGCCCCATCTGGTGGAACAGAAATCAACTAAACATTGATTTAACCTGTCCCTGATATTTGGCCAACCCAATTTCTTGATAAATCAAGAAAAGCCATCTACGAACGCATTTCGCGTTGTTGGCGCTCGTCAGCGTGGAGTAAGCTGTACCACTGCCATCTGTAAAGCACATGTGCTCCAGGTTAGGATATGGCTTTTTTTATTTTTAATATCAACACCTGACCTTTTCTATTTTTTTTTTCATACATACATATAATACATACAACATAAAGTTTCAGGAGGATTCATGTACCAAAAGTGGCACCTTTCCCTTTAACCCACAACTAAATGTTGTTTTCTAGCCTTAAAATCGGCCCTTTGCCACTTCATTAGTTTAAACACCTTATTGGCCAATAACTCACCACGTAGGATGTTATGACATCGAAGCCGCCTCTGTACTGATAAGGGACAAAGCTCAAAACTATGGTAATTGATTTTGACAAAAACAGGTGTTGCAACTCATTTATTATTACCAACTTAACGTTTTATACTGAGGTAATAACCCTTAATGCATTGTTTTTATTGATTTTTAAAGGGAGAGGTGCCACTTTTGGTACCTATATTTGCAATTTGTGGAAGTGCAATGTTTGAAGCATATTATATATTTATAATTGTATATACGTATTTCTATACTGTGTACTACTGCTTATTTCCATACTTTATTTAAAATATATAACTCCGCCTTTGCTGGTCCCAAGCCCGGATGAAAAAGGAGGAGGGGGAGCAGTAACAAGCTCACTGAAAAACCTGGGTTCTGCTGGCCTGGCTGATAGTACCCTGTAAGGGCTCCTGATCCAGGGATACAGGATGAGCAGCGTTTGTACTCCATGTTAGGAGCAGCTGCACATGGCGTCTGTTCCTCATGTCAGAGGCGACCATTTCTTTTGGAGCTAAGTCGGCCTGCCACTGAGTAGTGCTCTCAGTCTTAATGACAAAGGCAGACGCATTCTACTTCGCCCAGTGTGGAGATAAGAAAGAAGAAGAAGAAGATTTAAAATATATTTTCCAAGGGTTTAGATTCAGTATCGGTATAAAAGGAAAACAGCCAAATGCAATATTACAGCGGTATGGTATATTAAACGGACAAAACTATTGTTGTTGTTGTCGTGTCCAAAGAAGAGTCTTAGATGTCTCCATGCATCTCCATCACAGCAGCAGCAATATGCACTATCTTGCTCTTCATTGAAAAATGGGTGCCGTTGCCACGTTAGTCACCTTGGAAATGAACCAGAATTTGGTCGAATATTCCAAGGGTCCAGGGGGGACCGCAGGGAGGTGTGGTCGGACTTCTCCCCCCAGTTTACTAAGTGTTATGAATATAATGAGTTGAAAAAAAAAGCATCTTGAGATCATGCAAGTAAAAGTTGCTGATGGACTATTTAGTTACATGAACAGAAGATGTCTTTGTCTCAATTTATCAACCTGATCCCAGTACAGTTTCACTTTTGTTCTATTTTTTTCAAATAAATAAGTTATCATAATAAATAAGTATAAAATACTCTCATAAAGATTTTTTTAAAGTTTTAACACACATAAAAAAGTAACCCTCTGGTAAGAGGACACTTTGGCTCTGCAACTAGGTGTTGTCTCTACCCCGACAAAACTGTTGGGAGGGTTTATTACTGATGAGTCAGGCCCTCCCATTATTTTATCATTGTATTAAGGGTGTGAATTATTTTATTTTTTTAAAGAAAAATACGCATCAAAAATAGCTTCAATTTCCTTTAACAGATGGCGCTCTAATGCATGTGTTACCAGTTCAGTTTATTGTCTTGTATAAGCCATGAGCTGTTTAGGAATCATACGTCTTGTAATCTTGTACATATAATGAGAGAATACAAGTTGATGCAATTGATCTAGAGTTTTCACAAGATTGGGTGTCGATAAAGCACAATTTGGATTATAGATTATAATACAAGAAAATAAGATCTAATCCAAATAATTTATAGATGGATCTAAAGAGCCAAAGGTCGCCTCTCCTGTAAAAATAGATGTCAAAATTAGACGCCATCTATTTTCCATCTATATTTTAGCCATAGATTTAGCCCAGCCACTTTGCCAGCTAAACACCTTTTTGGCAGATTGTCAGGATTCCATTAGATCCGGTGTGGATCTCATGGAATAAAGTCCGCCCTAGACTGACGAGGGCCATTAGCCCGAAATCATGGTCTCTAGGTGGACGCTTTTCAGTTTGCCAAAGCTGGTGTTGTGGATTTGTCACCGACCTGAGGCCGCTAGTTTGCGGCGACGGTCAATAGATGGCGTCTAGTTTTGAAGTCTATTTTGACGGGAGAGGCGACCTTTGTCTCTTTAGACCAAATAATTTAATAGCATGTGACGTTTCGGTAACAGCATTGTTACCATCATTAGACAAAAGAATTTCATTTTATTCTTTTGTCTGATGATGGTGATAATGCTGTTGCCGAAACGTCACACACTAATAAATTATTTGGATTAGGTCTTATTTTCTTGTAGGATTAGGGTTCTTTGTGTAAGAATGTGTACTGATGTTTTCCAGGTTGTTGGTACTTTCCTTCATTCAAGGACTGATCCATGAAGTATAGGAAGGTTGCTGATGACCCAAAATGCGGATTCATGTGACCAAACACATGGTCATGTCCAGGTGCTCTGTCAAACTCCAAATTATTTATCATATTTTCTAATTCTTGAGGCGATGAAAAAGCACAATTTTGATTATAGTTACAAGAAAATAAGACCTTTCTTCTTCTTCTTTCTTATCTCCACTCAATCACACTAAGGTATCAAGCTTGTAAAGCTTGAGACTTTTGATGGTGTCTGCCGGGGAAGAGTAGATCTCATCAATGGATGAGTTAATAATCATCAATAAATTACTAGTATGTGACATTTCAGTAACAACGTTGTTACAGAAACATCACATACTATTAATTTATTTGGATTAGGTCTTATTTTCTTGTAGCTAATTCTTGAGAGATTTTATTGTTATTGAAAATATCATTTTTTTGGGTATTTTCTGGATTCTATAAGTGTTTTAAGTAATGTTCAGGAAATTATTTTATCTGTGACTTTGTTGTAGGTTAGTTTTCTGTTATGAGAGAAGTATTCTGCTGTTATGTTTGAAGCTTCTTTCTAGTATATGTCTTGGTTCCGTTATAAATCTCTGTGGGAGACAAACTTCCAGCGCTATCTAAAAAAAAATGAGGTTAGGGGCAGAATGATTCACACAGTGCATTCTCAACAATCATGACCCAGGATAGAATCCCTCACATTGAGCACTTACACTTGAGGAAGTTCAAAGTCTTCAATGTCGCCAGCCATCTATTTTTTTAAACTCCGCCTTTGCCGGTCCTAAGCCCGGATGAAAAAGGAGGAGGGGGAGCAGTAACAAGCTCACTAAAAAACCTGGGCTTAGCTGGCCCGGCTGATAGTACCCTGTAAGGGCTCCTGATCCAGGGATACAGGATGAACAGCGTAGGTACTCCATGCTAGGAGCAGCTGCACATGGCGTCTGTTCCTCATGTCAGAGGCGGCCATTTCTTTTGAAGCTAAGTCGGCCTGCCACTGAGTAGTGCTCCCAGTCTTAATGA